GAGGGGCTCCCATACCTCTCCCCCCTCACACCCATATGCTGCCCACCTGAGCTCTGCACTGCTGCCACCCCCCTGGGCGACGCCTCAGCACTGCAGCCAGCCCCAACCCCAGCCCTGCTCTCCCGCCCAGCTGCAGCCCTGCCCCCAGCTTCCTTACTTGCTGCCAGGAGGGAGCTGGATGTTGGGGGAGCCTGCAGCAGCAGCCCCACTTCGTGCTAACAGAGCTGACCCTTTTGTCGGCAAGGGTGGGAGTAAGACATAATAAGATACGTTGGTGGTAGGTGTAGGTGTCTCGCTCCCACCCTCGCTGGCAGAAGGGCTGGGTGGGACACAATTCATTGGGGGGAGCTGTGGACTGGATAAAAGTGCCAGGCAGGCCAGATGTGGACCACAGGCTGTATTTTGCCCACCCCTGCTTTAGATCCACAGACCTCTGTTGTTTGACGTGACAGCAGCTGCTGCTGTTTGCCAAGTGATTGACAGTAGTAGGTTCCAACCTTGTACACAAAGCAGCTCTAAAGCTGTTTGAGACATTTCACTTAAGGAACTAGTTTATTGGTCAACAAGGAAGAAATAGTGAGACTTAGGGACCTTGGATTCCATTTCAGGCACTGGATAGGAGTGTATTTTGGTGGTCTCATACTCTTCTGTTCCATCTTTACCCAATCCTAGACAAAGAGGTGTCAGCCCTTATCAAATTTGAAGTCTCTGTTCCCTGGGTTCAAAGTATAGAATTTTGAAAAATTTCCACGTGAAGTGTTAGTGCTGGGCACTCATCATAGATGATGCTATAATTATTGTAATTCTGTAATTATTTCAGGAGAGAGATTTTTCAGGTAAGTTTCTAAGTGAAGATGCTGCTTTACTTGCAGTATTTGTATGCTGTGTTTATAATTTTGGGACAAGACTACATATAGTTGTTTTATCATGATGTATCATAAAGACTTGTGAATAATATACAATAGTTCTTCTAAGGCTGGGAGTGAAATTGTGTGCATTTCTCAGACAGGTGGTTTGTAAAAGCCACTATGCACTATGAAGTTAAATACTAGGGGGGGAAAAAAACTCGTGAGACGGTGAGATTACTCACTTTAAATCAGTTTTCTTTGAAAAAGAAAGGTGACCCATCAACTTTAATTTTTCATACTAAACTGCAGATAAATTCCTGAATTCTGAATAGGGAAAAGTCTTGATTCTTCATGTCCTTTGGATAGAAGAGGAAAAAAGTTAAGTTCTATTTTTTTACTTGTTCTGTTTTCTGTTTCAGATCATATAATAGAAATGACCGTGAAAACAGCAACACTCTGTTTCAGAGGAAAGAACATTTTGGCTCCAATGGTGCGAGTTGGAACATTACCAATGCGTCTTTTGGCTCTCGATTATGGTGCTGATATTGTGTACTGTGAGGTATGGAAGGCTGAATTGATGGAGCAGGCTCTATTTTTTCATGATGTGGAGACAAACTGAACAAAACTGGTGTGTTACTCCATACTCACGTCCTCCTATGGCAAAGAGTTTAATAGTTAGTTTATGCTCTTCACTTTCAAAAATTATCTTCATTAAAATGTTAAAGGGAACGAATGACTCAGGTTATTTGGAGAAATAGTCTTATTTTGTTGCTATTTACATACTGCTCTGGTTGGTCATGATAAAATGATCAGTTTTTGTCAGGTTGTAAAATAAAATATTGTGGTTTCAGTTCATTTATTCTGAGAATTACAGATAAAGCCATATCTGCTAGCAGTATGTCTACACCTGTTGGTATTACTTACTGGTAACCTCTTTATGGGATATAATTTCATAACAACCCCATTAACTTCCACCTAATAAAAACTTTTCTTAATGGAAAAGAATTATTCCCCTTTTAGAGGTGAGAAATAGAGACAAATTAAGGCAGTTACTCAAGGCCATACTGAAAATCTATTGTGGAGTCGGGAGTTGACCCCAGATCTGGGGTCCGGGCCATTTTTCCCTTCTAAGGAAAGGTGCTGAATCAGTTCTTCTGCTAAAAAAGTAGAAAACATTAGCTGCTTGTAGCATCTGATGAGAGCTCCAGGACACTATATAATTTCTCTGGTGAAAAGGCTTATGACACTCTCCAGGACAGTATGATGATCCAGAAAGTTATTAAAAAGAAAGAGAGGGAGAAAGGGGATTCCCTTTGCATTGACCTTTTAGTAAGAGAATTAGTCTCCTGGCCTAGAGGTTGCTTTTACCTTCAAGCTTCATAATTACCATAGGATGTTTAATCGATGGATCACTGATCTAGTCTGCTGTTTCCCAAAGGGAGCCCAGTCCTTAATTCCTAGTGTCCAACTAGCATGTGAAATTTTGTCCCCAAGCTTGCCTTTCTAAAAGGGTTTGGTAGATTTTCCTTGAACATGGCCTTGGTAAGGTCAGAAAGGGAGTGGTGGTTCTGTGAAAAATGAGCTCTTGCTGATTTATGTGTGTGTCTGTCCTTTATATTTTTTTCTGCAAGTGTTCATTTTGGTGTGTAGTTCCTTTTTAATTTCACCTATGTAATTACAGTTTGGTACATTGGATCAAGTGTATTACATTCTGGGAAAGGCATATGTAGGATTTATAGATTCCCCCTATATATAGGGGGTTGTTTGAAAGCCTGGATTGGAAGGGTCTGGGATTAAACCTCTCAAGGTCTGATCTTTGTTGAATATAGGCTGAGTTGTTTGATGATTCTTCTAATTGGTTCTAGTGTGGGGATAGTAGTTGACAACCAGGGGTGTGCAGCCACAGGGGTGGGGGAAGCGGGCATTGCTTGTATTGTAGCAGGTTACTTGAGTGTATTTGGGTAGCTCTTTTAAAGATGCAGCTTGTTTTTCTACTGGAGTGTTCTTGTTATATAAAGGCAGATTTTAGACTGGCTAGGTGAGCATCACGAGCATTCTTCTCAGAGCTGACATGATGGTAGCTGAGGGCCTGACTGTAGATTACATCTTTTGTGTTATGTTTTGGGATGATGGCAGGTCTCATGGATATAAGTATGGTGGTCTGGGGAGTTTTTGGAGCTGGTGGCTATAGAGCACCATCTTGGATGTGGATTCTGGTGTCTAGAAAGTTGATGTTAGTGTAGAAATATTCCCGATAAAGTTTGATCAAGAGGTGATATTTGTTACACCTGTGGTGGAAGTTGGTAAGTGAGTCTGTGTGTTCAGTCCAGATTATGAAAATACATAAATAGTAACTGTATGGGTGAAACTAAACAGCAACTACACACCAGAATGAACACTCACAGAAAAATATAAAGGACAGAGAGAGGAATGGTTGTAGGAGCACATTTTTCACAGAACAACCACTTCCTTTCTGACTTCATTCTCATCATGCTCAAGGGAAATCTACAAAACACCTTGAAAAGTTGAGCTTGGTAACAAGAATTTGTAAACTGGCTAAACAATAGGAACCAAGGACTAAACATTCATGACACACTATAATCTACTTGATTCCTGAATTTTTCCTACACTTTACAGGTGATAATGACCCTCCTCCCTTTTGAGAGGTCTTGATTTCCCAGTAATCTACCTTCTCCTCCTCTGCTAAATGTTTGTCTACTGCCTCTGGGAATTTTTCCCCCAACCAATTTCACAGCTCTGTGCTGTTCTTAACAATCTGCTGTGCTTGCTTTCTTCCTCAGACATGAAGAAAATACCTTACATTCAAAACCTTGTCTGACTCTATCCCAACTATGCAGTTGGTTCCATAAAAGATTTCACCCCAAAAAATCTTTGCCTTTATCATTCTAGTGCTTCTGATGATGCCTGAATACCTTAACTGAAAGAGAAAAAAAAAGCCCACAGAACAAAAAACACATAAACCAAAGCCTTATCAAATGCTGAATGCTTCTTAGGTCCTGTGTAGGTAACCCAGATCTGCTTTTTAATTGTTTATCTGGGAACAGAATGTCATCATAACCCAAGAATCTTGGTCACAGAGATTGCCAGTCAAAAACCATAAATTGTAAGAACTGTCATATTAGATCTGCAAAATAGAAGTGCTTAATGAGAATTAAGAGGCTTATGTTAGTGAGCAGCAATATGGTAACTGATAACGGAACGTGTAACTAAAGCTAGGAGCAGGGGTACCAGCTCCTGAAAGTTACCAAGAAATTAGTACAGTGGTGTTACTCTGAATATACCTGGAGTATGGTGATGCATTGACCATTTGTTTTACTATTATGAACCATATGGTTATGCCAGATCCCCTCCTTCAAGAAATGCCCTACCTTGCATACTGCATCAGGCAATAGCAACACACTAATATGGCTGTAAGTGCTCCTACAGCTAAATATGTTGTGCCTATTTTGCTACCCTTCCTGGCATTCCCATTAAGTTCAGAACTCTGCCTCTTTAAAAACTGCTTTTTTCCATTTTCCTTTCCCATTCCACAGTGCTGACATTGATGGAAAAATGCATCTGATTATGCTTTAAAACAGCATTTGACATTGATTAATTTTAGCAGATAAGGTCAAGCAGATTAATCGTTACCTTGGGCATGTATTTAATCAGTTGAATTCAAGTAGCCATTACACTCAGTGGTTCCTGGAGTTTAGGATCTTGAATATAATAAACCACTGAAGGACCAAAGAAAATGAGTTATGAAAATTAATGGGTAGATATAGTGCAGCTGGTAGCAGTATTTCTCCATGGCAACAGTAGCCTGAACAATAGAAATATACATTCTTCCAGAACTAAGTTGGAAAAAGAACAACAATGATTTTAATGAGATTTTTTTTTTAGTATAGAAGAAACCAGCTCCTCTGTGCTTCCTAAGTACCAGTGGCTTTCTATAATTTAAAATTTGGTAGTAGGAAAGTGGTAGGAATTAATTATATTAGAAATGTAGTAAAAGTTACAGCACTTTTGTTTTAACTCCTAGGTTCCCATGGCGGTGATGGAGTGAGGCTGGGACTAGGGAAGGGGCGGGGGAAGGCGTGCTGCTCCTGGGGCTGCACAAGGGAGCAAAGCAGAGGGAACTGTCAGTGGGGTGGGGGGACACCTGTTGCTGCTTCACGCCCCCTGGGAGGGCTGCGGGGCTGTGCTGGGCTCTTTCTGGGGGGCACATATTCCTGGACTTGCACATGGGATGACAGCAGGCTGCCGCCACCCAGGGCTCCGCTTGTCTGCACTCACCCCCGCCCCTGCTGCAGCGAGCAGCTGACACCACCTGCCTGCACCAGGGCACGACATAGCCCAGGAGCTGTGGTGAGTGGACAGGCAGAACCCAGGTGTGGGGGACAGGCAGAGCACAGTGCAGCTCAACAGCTGCAGGCAGCTGGTGCCAGCTGTTCCCAGGGCTGCTGCAGCAGGGGCTGGGGGAGTGGGGCCCTGATAGACATTGGATTTATGACACATTATAACCTGCCTGACATCTGACTCCCCAGGTATCTCTCCACTTTCATCCCCCTTCTCTCTCTCCCCCCCACGCAGCCTGTCTCTCACCCATTGACTCCTCAATCTACATTTTCACTGACTACCTGTCTTGTATGCATACCAGCCCAAGTAGAGCTAGGTTCCCATGGCAGTGATGGAGTGAGGCTGGGACTAGGGAAGGGGCGGGGGGAGGGGTGCTGCTCCTGGGGCTGCACAAGGGAGCAAAGCTGAGGGAACTGTCAGTGGGGCGGGGGGACACCAGCCCAGCCGCTGGCTTCTTTACTTTTCATTCCATCCAGGAAGAGCACATACCAACTGCTGAAACTTCCTTAGCCTGATGAAGGGTTTTTTAACCTGAAAGCTTGCTAAATAATTATTTTCCAACTATTTGGGTTGGTCTAATAAAAGATATCAGATTCACCAAAGGAACCGTGTCTGCCTATGTCCTTAGACCAACACGGCTACAACCTATACCCCATCACATAAGAACAAATTTGCGTATCCAGAACCCACATAAATTGAGAGAAACCTGTAATAGAAACAGCCTTATAAGCAATCACACACACAAATGTCAATAGAACTGAGTGAATTAGTCAAGTTGGTGCTAACCTGGTTTACAGCATGTAGTACAGAATGTGTGATCTTTTACTTGGGGCCAGGCAGAAATTCTTTTATGGTGAAAGAAAAAGGCAGGATATATTTGTGCTATATTCTAACTCAGTAGTTCTCAACTGGCGTGCCACAAAAACCTGCCAGGGGTACCTGGTTGCAGCAGCATTTATCTCCAGCTCAACTGTCCCACGTGCCTCTGTTTTCAGGAGGCACATCAGAGCCAAATCGGGAAGAGCTTTAGCAGGAGTGGCACACGCGCCAGCCGTAGCTAGTCTATAAAGTGCAAATCTACCTTGCCTTCTGCCTGACTTCAGAGTAACACACTAACTACATATATATTTTACAGTGAAGACAGTTATTGTCACTGCTTGAATTAATACTTGGAATTAGCCCAACTCATTTAGAAGGGTGACACTGCTAAACATACAGGGAGTAGTTTAGCAGTAGATCATATGGACATGCATAAATTTGGAACCATTTCAAAAGGGCTGCAGCTGTTATGTTTTAATTGTTAGGTGTGGACAAGCTGAGAATGATACAGAGGTCACTGGCAGATGTTATTTTTGTTGCATCATAGGAACTGTAGAATTCTGTTGTGGAATAGAAATGTGCATTGTGCTACACCAGCCATTCAAGAGCTTGCTTCCCTGGGTGCAGAAAAAGCTGGAGAAGCTGGAAAACTGGTGTCCCAGTGTGCCCTGCAGTAGTTCCTGTCTCTGGGAATTCCTGAGGACAGCCAACCTTTGAGTACAGCACTGGTCAGCCGGAGACTCGCCACCCACCACTTGTACTGGGACAGGACTACACAACCAACCAACACTGTTGGTCCCTATTTTCCCCTGGGCACTCTCTCCAAGTCCAGAATAGATCTGCACCCTGTGGCCCCCATTCCAGCAGAGGTTGGAGCGACTGTACATGCTCTTACTGTCCAGGATGAGAGTCATGGCTTACCATTGCCTCAGCAGACTGCTCTTAGGGGCAGGGAACAGTGCATTCAGGGATAGCGGAGGACCTTCTCAAGCCCTGTTATGCTCTGTGTAACAGGTCAAATGTCAGAAGTGTTGGATACTCCACACCACAAGAGTTTTTATTTCAGCCAGCAACTTTGTAGTAGATTTGCTATTTTTATCTCAGGACAAATTAATTTAATCCTACAGTTTGCCATGCAAAATTTTCATATAGACCATGACAGATATAACATCTGCCAAGGCCCAAATGTAGTAAAGCTACTCCAACTTTAACAATGGATAAAACAGAGTTAAGTTTGAAGCAGTTTTACTGCATTTGTATTTGTCCTGGCTGGTCAGTGCATAACAATTCAAATGAAATGGCTCCAACTGTACATGAGTCCATGCCCAAGAGAATGTTTATTTCAGCTGTTAACAGGTTGTGCTAGCTCAGACTTAGCCTCTTGTGCTAGCTAGGCCTAGCCCCTCCCTTCTTGGACAGAGCAACCAAAGTGTACTATTTGGGATTCAGTAGGTTTTGGCTAACTGCAGTGAAAACAGGGTATGCACTTGGTGCAAACATATCAGATGTAGCCTCCTTTTTTAAAGGAATTGTAACAGGATGATGAATGCCCATTAATTAGTATAGTAAACTTGAGTGCAACCCCTTTCTGTTTTTAAGTGAAAAACAGCGACTTTTTTTTCCAAGGTTGCAGAAAAGTTAAACAGTGTACTATTTTCCTTGAGTGTACACACACACACACACACACACACACACACACACACACACACACACTGTTTCTATTCATAATATGAGTTGAACTTTTGACTATAAGCTGCTATATATATTTTTCTCTGCTTACACCATTTTTCAAAAGCAGATCCATTTAGTTCAAAGGACCAAATCATTTTTACTCTGTTTTGATGGATTCTTTTTTGTTCTGTTTTTCCCACTTTTTTACATATATTTTTGGTCTTTGTTCTTAGGAGCTGATAGACATAAAGATGCTGCAGTGCAAGAGGGTTGTAAATGGTAAGGACATTACTTTTTTTAATACCTTTCAAGAACTCTTTCTTGAGGAAAGAATGAACAATGCACCATTACCTTATCTGGTTGGTAGCCAGGAGTGCCAGAGCAATGGGATACTGACATCCATTGCTACTCATTCCAATTGCTAAGTGATGTAGTGTTGCTGATCCAAGTTGTCTGTGGGGTACTTCCTTTTAAATGGTGTTGTTCTTCAGGTTCTTCCTTGTTAGTGGTTGTTGCCCTGCAGGTGCCCAGATTTGTTTTTCCTCTCTTAAAATGCTTCATTAACTTAACCAGCACCTTAGGCTGATCGCATTTTTGTTGGGGGCTGGTATATTAACATAAACAGCTCGGTTTGTGCTGTAGAGTCTAACAGAGTTCTGTACCATCCCATTTTTTTCATAGGCTTTGGAATCTTCTCAAAGTGTAGGTCCTTCTTCATTTTGGTTTGCCTTTTAAAAACCATTCCTGGGCTTCTCCCAGCATTTTCTTATACAAACCTAGTAATCCAATCTATCTGCCTACCAGGATTCAATTACACATACCCTACCATGTCCTTTCTTAGTTTCCTTTCCCTTGTATAGAAATGTTGCTCTTCTTCCTTAGAATCTTTTATTGTACAGAAACATTCCAATACAGCTTTCTCTGAGGAAAATCTAGTTGCGCTCTCCTCTTTTCTTAGGGGTTTCATTAGTGCCCAGCTATTCTTACCTGGTTTCCAATCTATCCCTTCACAGAAACTAGATGACCTCCATCTATTCCCGTTAAGAATGACTGATTGGCCACAGATGGTATAAGTTTTACAGGTCAGGCTAGTACCTGGCCTTGTGGCCCTAAATGGATCAAGCCCCTCTCACTCTCCTACAGAGGAATAAAATGAGGTTGAGAGAGAATTAATTTAATTAAATGTTATTCATAGTTACTTAAAGTACTAAAGCTTGAAGAATAAGGTCTACTTTGCTTTTAACAATTTAAATGTTAGGTAAAATATTAGAAAGTTACATTTTCTTCTTTAAGAATGGATATGTCTATATACTATTTTTACTTGACTAATTCAAGACGACCCCCCAGTAATTAGATTATATGGAAAATGCATAAAGTTGTTGTTATTTTCCAGGTATAGAATCCAATTATTGGAGGTTGGCCTTGAATTTGTCCCCTTCCCATTGCTACAGTAAGGAAAATAAATCTGGAGGGATCAGATGGCCCCCTTGCGCTCCACCCTACCTCTTCCCCCTGCAGCTCCTCCCTTTTTCCCTCCTCCCCTCCCCACCCTTACTGTCTGACCCTGCTATCCCAGAGCACGTGGAAGTGAGGAACAGATTTGAAAACGGTGACCATGAAATAAATATGCCTGTAGTAATTTGCATATAGGCCTATAGGCAACTTAATATGGGTACCCATAGACTTAGTTCATCTAGAATTGATGCATTTTACCTTTTTTGAAACTGCTGCAAGTTTTAGCACAGATACTCCATAAGTATACTTTTAAGCAGCATTTTGGTCCCTACTTATATAATCTGTGCTCTTTAAGCAGGTCCTTGTGGAAGATTTGCTCTCTCACAGCCTGGCAGCTTTCACCAGGTAGTAAGTCCACAGGTGATGTGATTTCTCTTTCCCTTATGATGTCTCTTGCCCTTACCACGTCCCGTATTTTGTGATGGTTAACCAGGGTCACTAGAGTCATGTCATGCAGTTTGTATTTTTTCCAGAAGCATTTCAGTACCTCATAGAACCATGGGGACACCAGGGTCCAAAAGCTTCCATTGGTCATGTGTACTCCTGCCACTGTTGGAGCAGCTGCCTTGCAAAATACTCTACAGTAAAGTGAGCTGTTTCGACTTCTGCCCCTTTTGCCTTTTGTAAACCTGGCTCATGTTCTTGGCCCAGAGGAAGAGTAGAATGTCTGGCATTTCTCTGCCTCTGGACCATTTCACTTTGTACGGTTTGGTCCTCACTATTTTCTCCCATGTGGAGTTTCAAAAGAAAACACACATGGCACTCTGGAGTCTGTGAATGACTTGCTTTGAGTAGGGGAAGACTAGGGTGGTGTATAGGGGTATTGGCACCACCTCCCATCAGCAACACGCGCACCCCTGTTGAGAGGCAGTGTGATTGCCATAGTCCCAGCCTCTGTTTGGCTTTGAATGCCACCATTTTCCATGCCCTCTGTCCTGTCAGCTGTGAGTCAAACTCCACCTCAAGGATCTTTATCCCCTCGCGGTAGACGGATACCCGCAGGGGCGACAGTTCCCTGAGATTGCCCAGGACTAGTTAGGTGCTTTTGCTCACATTGAGCTTGGCCCGTGCTGCTGCACTGTAAACCTGGGTGTGTTGTAGTGCACTTTCCATCATCACAGGTAATTTGCATTATCACAGAGCTCAGAGATGGACACCTTACCAGATAAGAAATGCCTGCCCAGAAGAATATTTCATCTATTGACTCTGTGAATTCCTGTGAAATATGAACTTTCATTTCTACCCAGGAGAACTTTTGCAATCTATTCTCCGATGCCAGATGAAGGATGTTTGTGCCCAAAAGCTTGCAATTAAAGAATTTTTTTTTTTGCAAAAATCTAGTTGGTCTAATAAAAGATATCACCTTTACCATGAGTCCTCACTGCTTGAATGAAGCCTTTTATGAAGGAAAGCTCTTTCTTTCTTAAGCCATCAGAATTAGTGACATGGCTTTATTTTTTTGACCAGTTCTGTTGAAAACACACGAGGAGCAGGTGTGCAAAGTAAAAGTTGCAAATAAACCAATGTATTTTTACTTGCAATTTATGATTTATCATTTTAACTAACAATCATTATTTTGCACAATCACTCGATGCACTTAATTTTATTAAATGCGTAGTGTGCCTTTTATCTTTATATATCCAAATTCCTTAGTTATGAATGAGCTTTCTACTCAATAACCTAATTGAGATAAATGTAGTAAACTGTGCCACCTATGCTAATTTAATTTTCTGATTAAGACCAAGAATATTAAAGCTCATAGTCTTTGGCCTGGGAGAAAGTAGCTAAACTATGTCATGAAACATGTACTAAAGCACCTTTGCTAATAAACTTATGGCAAGAAATTATTACCATTAATATAGTAGGTTAACGGTACATTCAGTGCCTGTAATTTTTAAAATTGGAGCTCTCTTGTCTCTCTCCTTTTTATCAGGCTTGAAACAGAACCAGTCTATATACTATTTTAAGGTACATATTTTTTTGTAACTTTCACAAGAAAGTAGCTGTACAATCCAAGAAGACCCATATTTAACTAATGTGGAATCATATATAGCAAACTGGGTTGTGATTTTGGTTCTTCTAAATGTTTATGCTCTTGTACAGGAGTTCTTAACTCCCGGCTCATGGACCAGATCCATCATGCAGGGCTCGCTGTGGGTCCGAATATTTGGCAGTGCAGGAGCAATGTCAGCACTTGCCGCTTGCCTGCTGCCAAATTTACAGATTTGTGGGGAGCCCCACGGGCAGGATAATGTAGCCCTGTGTGATACTGGGCATGCTGGGCCAGGTGGAGGCAGTGTAGGGCCCAATTGTAGCACACTGGGCTGGGCTGGGCAGGGGCAGTGTGGCATTGGGCCCATTCTGGGTGCATGGAGATGGGGAGACTGTGGGGACAGGAGGAGGCAACTTGGGGGCACAATCTTGGCAAGGCAGCGCAGGGTCGAATCTGGCCCACGGACTGGCCCCATGCTGTTCATCTAGCCCTTGGGGCCAAAAAGCAGAGCACCTCCAGTCTAGTAGCAAGTCACTGAAAAGAAATGAAATGGGTAACAAGGTGTATGGCAACATTTAGGTTTCAGTGTCTTCATTTAAAGTAGTGACTTTCACTTTTGTGTGATGCCTGTTACATTAACAAGTGTTGCATCACTGTAGAAGTTAAGCAACAAGTACTGTAGTGAAAAGATTGAAAATTTGGAGTAGGAACAAGATAGATCATAAGTCTTAATGCACAACTGTGGAACTGTGTTGCATAAATTACCTCCGATTACCTATGATACATTAAAAGTTTGATTGAGAAGGCTTTCTGATTCTTTTAAAAGCAGAATAAGTTTGAGTCTTAAATTATGCACTGAAATGAAATTCACCCCTGTGTGGAAGATGCATGCGAGGGTCAAAGCACTTCTTCTGCCTTTATGCTTGGTCTTAAATAATGTGAAAATATTGGTACTTCAGTCCTAACAGTATTGCCTGAATGTGGTCATCCTGATTTCTAAAGAGTTGCAGTTAGTGATGTATCCTTTGATGACTACTATTCACATTTTGCTGAAAGAGAGCAAATATGTTAATTTGTTTTTCCAGATATCTGTCTTTCATTTGTATTTATAATAAACTGTCACTGGGTTGTTCTAGGTGGTATCTGTCAGCTAATCATGCAAAGATCACTCCTGCCTAATACAATTATTTAACATTCCATCTAATCCTTGAGATCAGTTTACAGTTCTCTTATATTTGCTGGAAAAATAATTGTTTTCCAGCAAATTCTATCATCACTAACTATAAACAGTTTCATTTTTATGCTTCTGCAAGTTCTCATAGAGCCATTTTCTTCTATGATTTCATTTTCAGCTCTATACCAGCCAGTCCTCAGATGCATCTCAGAAACCTTTGCGTTACTTTTTATGAGAACCAGCACAGTGCTGCTGGCATCTGAGGACAATTTGTGAATGGTTAAGGGAAATAGGAAGAAGAGGCTTGGCCTACTCTGAAAGTCAGCAGTGACTTTTTGTATTTCAGGAGAAGGTCTGTCCATGGGTAGACTTTAAAGGCAGGGTCCCACTCAGGGTCTGTGCTTTACCTTTCACTTTGCATTTAAATGGATGTAAATACGTTCCAGTGTTTCCACAGTAGCTGTAATAGTTTCCCTTGAAACAAGACAGACAGACAGACAGTACCTCAAACAGTAAGACTTCAAGCCATTTAAAGGTTTACAGACCAAAATCAGTACGGAATCTTAAACCTGCTCAAGTAACCACAGGAGAACCAGTACTCAAGAGAGCTGTCAGTGTCTTTCTTCCATTGGTAAGAACACACTATCTGATAGCCTGCCTCAACTTCCTGCATCCACTTAAAAAATCCTGGTTGGCTTAGAGTGCACTAGGGTAGTATACAATTGCACAAAATGCAGAGGCAAGAAACTAAAAAAAATATTTACCCTGCTGTTGCTCTTGGAAGGGTTAGCCAGATTTTAGCATTAACTGATAGCGCAAAAAATTTGCTCTAGCCCCTTAGGGAAAATATTTCCTTTGTAATTAGATTTCTTCATTTGCTTTCATAAACAAGTGTGTTCTTTTACATAAATAACAGCTTACTATATCAGACTCACAAAATAGGAAATTTAGAATTAAAGTTTATTTTACTCTTCAATGTTTTTACTTCGTCTTCAGTTTTTAACACTTTTGATTCACAAGTGAGTGAAGGATGGAAGGCTGACTCTGACAATTGTACATTTATATATATGGAATTTTAATTCTAGTTTATTTCACATATATGGCTCAGCTCTGCATTGTTTCTGTGCTGTGAACTCCCATCAATTCCTAACAGGAATGTGGGTTGGCTTTTAACTGTTTGATTAGACCTGGATAGATTTTTGTGAGTCTTCTGTAACATTTTTGGAACTTAAATCTATTGATGTTAGCTTCAGAAGTGAATATTTTATTCAGGGGAGCTTACTACTTATTCTCAAAAAAATAGAGAATAATATTTTTTCAGTCAAAACTCACTTTATAAGCTTTTAAGGTCTGACATTGAAATCTACATCTTCTGAAGTTTCTTGGTAGAATTTAGTTTATATGTACTGTGAGTTTTTTAACTGCTTTATGTGGCTGTTGTGTAATTATATTTGTTGGGTTTTTTCTCCCATATCTGTGTGTTTCTCCTATACCATGCAGATATACTTGGCACAGTGGACTTTGTAGCTCCTAATGAAAGAGTTGTTTTCAGGACTTGTGAGAGAGAAAGAGACAGTGTTGTCTTTCAAATGGTAAGAAACAAACAGCAGCTACCTTACCAATTTCAAAACTTAATTTGTCCATCACTATATTATTTAAGTATGTCTACATTAAACTCTGTGTTGGGGGTTAGCAGATCCCAGATTTTTCAGCTAGGTTTTAATCTTTTTGGAAACTAATGCTGATTGTGTTATATACAACTAGTTTAGAAATCATGCAAACAGCATGCTATATTAATACGTTTTCTACAGGAGAGGTGGCACCATTTGGAGAGGTATGACAGTTATTGGTTTAGTTATGCCTGCTTATACCTGATTACAGTAGTGCTCTATATTTGTGCCTGCCACTTCCAAAATGTAGAAAAGATGCAGCCCCTTGCCCAAATAGTTTACAAACAAGGTTCAAACTAAACACAGGAAGAAATGAAGTGGATGAAGTTTGCAGCGTTATCATAACAAGGCCATTGCCACACATTATTACACTTAACACATGATTTGTCAGTTAGTCATATCTTAAGTTGTAACCCAGCCACATGGTAGTCAATTAATGGCATCATAAAACAAGGAATAAGCCACAAATGTATTCTACAAAAACATGTGTAATAACTTTGTGGTTGCTTCCTATTACTCTATTAATTGAGCATGTGGCCAGGTGCACCCCCGTGACTGAGAGCCCTGTCAGCTGATCCCAACCATCAGATCACAGTAGGCTTCCCCTGCACCAGCAGTAAGGTGTGGTGGGCTTTGATGTTCAATCCTGTAATCATGCTTCCTGCCAAGTACATGTAGCATGGCAGGAAGCACAGTTGTATGGATTGCACATCTAATCCCATCACACCTTCATGTCTGGCAGGGGCTCAAGTCTTATTTTAGGCCAGTGAATCTCAACCATGGTGCACTAGCATCCTGGTGTGCCTTGAGATCCTTTCAGGGGTGTTGTAGGGTGCCATGTAGTAGTAACTGTTAGGTTTACAAATGTGATTCACAAGATAAACCCAGAGATTTCAAAGAGTAATCTATAACATCAAAAACATTCTGGCCTGTTGTGGGCTGCCTGAGTTTTTTGCAATAGAAGAATAGCTCTATTCTTCTGTACTCAAAAAAACAGTCAAAAGCAAGAGCTGGCGTTTTCTGAGGGGTGTCTTGAATCCAGAAAGGCTGTGAACCACTGGTTTAGGTACATATAAGTGTCATGGTGGTTCAGATAAAAAATGCCTATGTGAGGAAAATGTGATTTCAATAAATATAAAAATAGTTCTGATAATTAGCTTGAAACAAACATTCGGTCTTGTAACATGCAGTTCAATATTTCTGTTAGATTTTGGGTTCTAATACTACAAAGATAGTATGCTTAAGTTTTGTACTGGAGTTCAATAGTTCAGTTATGCTTTTAACTGGGTTTTTTGCTGTATACTAATTGAGTGTATTGTCATATTATAAAATACACACTCTAAAGTGTATGTAAAATGTATATACTGTCTTTACTTGCACAGAGTATTTCCGTTCACTTGATTCTATATTACAGTATTGATTATTATAACCTTCTTACCCCAAAGGGATCAGCAGATGCTGAGAGAGCCTTGGCTGTAGCTAAGCTTGTGTAAGTACTTATGCTAAGGTAATTTCTCCCCCTGTGACCCACTTGAAAACTAGCTCACTTAATAATTTTATCTGTAAATTTTACTTTACAGTTTTATGTGAATGCGATTGTCATTTGAAACCAAACGTGTGGTACGGTCAAATACATCTTTTTCCCCCCTGGTTTCTTTTTTTATTTTTCCTATCCGATTCATTGGCTTTTCAAGACTGAAAACATATTTTTAGAGATCAGAATTAATGTGTGCATGGCTAGGAGAGCCCCTGGAGTAAGGAGTGTATTAAAAAAAACTGCATCAAGGTGCAGCTGTTTTCACCATCTGAAAAAATCAGTAGTGGAACAGTATGAACTGGTTGCAGTCCTGTAGCTATTTGGAATAAAGACTTTTTTTCAAGACAGTAGCTGCTTAAACAACTTATTAAGGCTTGGACTGTGATGGCCCTTCACTATTATACTAGGCATGCCCAGTCTCTGTTCCCAGTGTTATTTTCTATGGCAGGGGTCAGCACCGTTTTGCTATCGGATTGTAAATTTCTGCCCCTGGAAAGTTCAAGATATCTGCAGACACCTGGCCCCTCTGCAGTAAGAGTAAGCGCAAGCAGGACAGAGCAGAAGAGATGGCGGCAGAGGAGGGTGCTGCAAAGGGACAGGTGGCTCTGTGCAGCGGCATGCCTCCCAATCTTCATGCTGCAGCAGGCTGGGTCAGACCTTCCTGGGCTACATCCAGCCTGGAGGCTGTAGGTTGCCACCCTCTATTCTATGGGTTCTGGGCACCTACTAAAAAAAAAAAAAGAGTATGTTTTAAAGACTTATTATATCCTTAATGATTTTAAAGCATTCAACCAGATACAGTATGAACATAAAGAGAGAACTTTATATCTCATACATTTTCTATTTTAATAGAAGATAACCAGATAGAGTTTTGCCTCCTGTAATACCAGTGAATATAACTTAATCCCACACAGGATTTATTCTCAAAAATCAATCAAAACCATGTACTGTAAAGTTTGGGCTTTGGAAAAAGTTCCTAATCAAGTTTTTTTCCCCTTAGACTTAAGGAAAATGAGCTTTTGGAGCTTTCCATGAAGCAAATGCAATTCTTAGGTAGATTTTGAAGTGGCTATGCACAGCACTGTTTTATCTTACCCATAATTAAAATTAGTGAGAAGATAAAAGATTGAGGGGCTCAGCTGAAGTGTCCAAACTTAAAATACTTATCTGATTTTCTTGAGGATGGATAACTCACCTGAATATGGTCTGGTCGGAAGCTGTTTCTTGGTTTTAGTCTAGAATATATTTGGAGGTTTTGCTGTTCTTTTCTTCTCAGAGAGAACGATGTAGCTGGCATTGATGTCAACATGGGCTGCCCAAAAGAATATTCTACTAAGGTAAGTGATTTGAAACCCTTTAAATATTTTTTTTTCACAGCAACTCATGTTGTAGCTTTCTGATTATGGCAAGTTCTTATATTTGTTTTTCCTTGCTGGGAATGTTACAAGTGTTTGTTATTTATGTTCTCAATGAGTCATTTGGTACTTCACTGCAACTCTGAAAAGAGGAAGCAGTCACCTTCACATCCTTATTTTTTAATTATGAACTGTGTCTGTTGTCTGGCTTGTTAGAAGCATCAACCAAATACTTTATTGTTGCCCCCTTTCGTGTAAGCAGCTAGCTAGTATTCAGAGCCTTGTAGGAGGAGAAATTGATGACTCAGGGTGTTTTTTGAGAGCAATCATGTTTGTACACAAAGTTCTGTTTCCCTCAACACGGCAGGAACAAACAACGGGGGTTGCTCTCAGCCCTAAGGTTCTGTTCAGCCACCAGTCTCTCTTGGCTTCCTTTTAAGGTGATACTAAAGTGCTCTACTCAACATCTCCTGCCTTTTCCAGTTGCTTTCCTTCTAACTTGTTCCTGCCCCATACATATACACACAAAGCTGAAATCTAATCCCTATTCTCTTTCCACTATAATTAAACAAAGGGACCTGCACTTTCTTTCTTATTTTGGTTGAATGAACTGCAGATAGTACTCCCTCTAGTTTAACATAGATCGAGGGGTTCCAGCCAGCCTACACCAAGTAGGGCCATATGTCTACCCAAGTGCTTTATCAATATAGGAATACCAGTGTTCTGTCCCAGAAAAGCTGTGCTATGTATTGATATAATAAAAGCACTCTTAACCATGAGCAAAACAATCTACACTTGACAACAGTGCAGCTTTGCATGTAAAAATCTATACTAGTGGCTCCTGCCAGCACAGCTACGTTAATCAAGAATCTCACCTCTTTGTATATATGAATGTGTTGTGTGCACAGGGCGTACAGTGTGAATTAAAAACAAGCCAGAATGTTATCAGGATAAAGCACAATGCCACATTTATTGGAACATAAAACATGCAATATGAAAAGAATAAAGAACAGTAAGGTTATTTGCTTCACTCATTCCCATGCATTCATTCATTCATTCATTCATTCATTCATTCAAAAGAGAGAATCACACACACACAGAAGCTAGTCTTGCAAAGGTTAAGGTGTTACCAAGTTTCAAAGTTGCTCAAGGTCAGTCTGGTGGCCGTCCAGGCTGAACAAGACAGTTGGGAGTCAGGTGTTGTTGGACATGCCCAAAACTCCTTCTTGCAGGTGGAAGAGACCCAAAGTCTTGTCTTTGTGTTCGTTCTTTATAGTAATAGCTGTTCATACAAGTCTATGGATTCCACTGAGTCAGACGTGAAGGCCATCCTCTTTGTCCTTTTGGCAGGCTGGGGTTGGTAGGGCATGACCTTCTGGCTTTGTGGTCTGCAATCTTCAGGGGCCATCACTTGCAGTCTTCAGCCATCAGGATGGAGCATGATTTAGTGTTTGGTACTCCTTCACTGCTTACTTGATGTCCACTGCAGCCCTTAACCATTAAACCACAGAAGGCTATTTTCACCTCCTGCAAGAGACCTGTCTTCCTCCATTGCTGTCACATACGTTCATCATTTATTCTTTCGTTACCTCTTTCCACATAAACCAAACATATCCACATACACCAGACATACTGCAAACCCTTACACAAGTGTTTTCCTTATACTAAATTTAAGTTCTAAAGTCATGAGTCAAATATGTCTAAAATCGTGAGACCAATATGTCAAATGAATTTATGGTAAACAATAAGAAATTTAAAATAGATGGTTAATTCCAAGCACTAATAATGACTTGTCACAGGGCACTAAGATGCCTGCTCCTCTATAAACAGAAACTGTCTAGGGAGAGAGCCCAAAGAACCAGACAGAAGCCCACAAGTGCAGGTTATTATGGCAACAAACTAATGAGGAATTAGCCTGAACCTGGTCAGCTGACCGGAAGAGGCAGGGCCCTGGGCATTTATAAACCCCAGGGCTGGGACTAGAGGTTTAGTTCTCTGGCAGCAGCTAAGGGGAAGGAGCCTCCAGGGAAGAATTGCTCAGGGACTGCCTGATATGGTGCATACTGGGCTAATGGGGGCTCCAGGAGCTAAACAGGTACCCAAGCCTACAAAGCACTTAGTGCTAGGGAAAAATTAATCTTTTAAAGGGACAGAGCACACCTTTAACCACTTATATTATGTTATAGCCCAGGGGCTTGTGTTTAAGTTGCTGTTTATAAATACCAGTGGATTGGGCTGAGGCTACTGGGGAAGGAGGAGGCCTCTTTGGGGTCCCACTACGGTGTGGGGACCCTATCTCCAGAGAAGGGCACAGCGATAAAGGAGTGAGCAGAGCCCAGCACCAGTGTGGGGCACAGAGATGGGGGTGAGCAGAGCCCCAGGAGAGACAACATTTAAATGCCATCTGCAAGGCTTGGGATGTAGTAAAGGGGTGGTTTTGGAGCCATGCATCTATCCCATAAGGCTGAGGGTGTCCTGTGAGGTATCCATTTTGAGCGGGATCCAAAAAGGGGATCCAAGAGCCCATGTGGTTCATCAGGGTCCAGCAGGACCATGTCCAGACAAAAAAGATCAAGGGCAGCCTCCCTATATTATTACTAGCAAGATGTGGCAGGTGAGAAAGAGGGTGCCCGTTGGGCAAGACTGGCACGGTCAAGGAGCCCTATGGGTATCGTGGCCATGCCTGGGGACCTCATCCCATGACGTGACTGATCAAATTATAGTAAAAAGTAAATCATAACTTTATTTTAACGGTTAAATCTTTTCCTTATATAAAAAGAGAAATAAACAGTCAAAGCAATTATAGTCAATAACAAGATAAGCAATCAAAGCAATTATAGTCACTGCAGTACTACAAATGATGCAGCTGTGCTGGCATCTATCAGGAAAAGCAGTCCAGAGGATGACAAACAAAACACAGAAGTTTTTCTGCAGGAACCTGTAGAATGGCTGATGTTGGGAAGGCCAGAAGTATTTATGTAAATGACCCCAGATTTCAGTTCATCACAATTTCTGATTGTAGGTCAGCAACATTCAGACTCTTAGCTTGTTTATTATCATTGTTGCCTAAAAAATCTAGTTGAGGGCCTCAGCTTTCTTTAAATCAAATATATTGAAATTTGGCATTGCTCCTTCAGAAATTGTAAAGTGGTTGAATTCGCCTCCAGAGCATCCTTATCAGAATTAGCATAAACATTGATCAGCATCTTAATCTCTGTCATCATTAATAACAAAAGAAAAAACATCTGTATTCTACTCTACCGTGAAAAAACACCTCAAATTTTATATGCAAAGCAATATTTGTATGAAATAAAGATAGCAAAGAAAATTAATGCTGTTTTCTTCTGAGTCAATAATCCAGTATTATGAGAAGTAAGTATTTATGGAAAAAATCTGTAGTTTGTAAATTAAATACCAAATACTTGTTAATGCCAGTTGATGATTGCTTACCAAATACAACTATATAAATAAAATATTTACTAAATAAGAAGCTTACTTGGAACGTGATACTTTAAGAAGTTAGTGAAAAAGTATTTGAATGGAATGATCAGTTTAATTAAGATGCAGTTTGGATCAGTTACCATTATTCCATTTCCCTTTTTCTTATTCCCTTACCTTATTCCATTATTCCATTTCATATACTAATCTGCTTGTGGGTTATTTGCAATGAAGCAATACTTCTTATGGACATATATCAAAGATGCAAGTAACAAAATAAATAGAAATAATATATTTTGATTATGGAAATATGTTCTTGATACCTCTTCTGTAGTTTGAATGTTGGGTGCTGTCTCTAGTGGGTTATGGAATAGAGAAAATCCCACACAATTTACTGATTCGTTTTGATGCACTGGCTGGGGGAGTAGTTAGCTGATTGCACGATTTCACAATGATTACACACTTAATTCATACAACACAATTTTATTTTAAAACTCTTTGCTACGTATATAACACTGCTTAGCTTTACGAAACACCACAAACATTAAAAACACAATAATTACATATATCAGAAACAATGCTCCGAATGCATTTCCTTCCCAAACAATGCTATAAGAATTAGTGTTACAAAAACAACTACAATTACAACTAAAAGTTAAATTTGAATCAATACTGTTATTTTCATAATATACTTACAATCCTAGAATTCCGAGAAGCCAAATACCAAAATATGGTTTCATTCCTCAGTAGTACTATTTAATGGGTTGGCCTCAGTAGTACAGTTCAATGGGCTCGCCTCAGCAATACGATTCAATAGGCTGGCCTCAGCAATACAATTCAATAGGCTGGCCTCAGCAGTGATAGGACTAAGTCCCCTTCCTTCAGTCCCTTTCAGGTGCTCCGCGGCTTCAGCGTGAACTAAGAGATTCGTGTTCACGGAGAGGTTGGATCAGGTGATCAGTCTGTTCCAGGCTACACTTGCGATTCTTCCTTCGTTGTTCTGCAAGTGAAGTCACCTCCAAATTGGGACGGTAAATTACAGTTTTTATTGAGCGAGCTGCCGTCAGTGGGCTCCTCCTACTCAACTTGTCTTTACTCCCAAATTTGGGCTCGGATCTTACTCAACAGATTCTTTTGCCTTTGTTGAGCATTTTAAATTACTCTTGGGGAGACTTCCATATCACTGCAAATGCCCTTTTCTTACCAATTTGGTTAAAAGGCCTTAGGCTTTTGATCTCTCAGAATTCAGGATATTTGCTCTCTTTGTAAAAGACTTCTAAAGATAAAATTTAAATTAAGCGAAGTCAGGACATTTTGCACGTAGTCCCAAAACAATGAACTAGATAAGGAGATAAATCCTATCTTCTTCCTGAAACTGGCTAATGGGCAACCTTTACAAACATTCAAACTATTTCATTCAATATGACAGGTGCTAGGAGTGGTTTTCATCCTGAGCATCAGAACTGAAACACATACAGACTTTTTTCTTAGTGGTTTTATGTGGGTACTCAGGCAGGATACAAAAGTAATCAACTTAAATGCTGGTGGGGTGAGAGAACAGTCCTTTTGAATTGAGGCAGTGTGCTCTTGTCCTTAGGGCTAAAATGTACTTAAATGCTTCACTCAGCAGAAATCTATGTTTGTATTTTAAGATACATGAAGGGAAATTTGTATGGAAATGTAATGTTACTCATCTGGTGTTTACATATCCCTATGAATATAATCACTGAAAAATCAAGAAAAACCTAACATTTTTAAGACATGAATATATACCACAATTTAATCTGTCATCTTGGTTACTGAAAATTTACTTGCTATACTCTCTTGAGGCAAATTCATTTTTGCTAGATGAGTAAAATGTCTTCTCCTAAGACATGCACTTTAACATGGCAATGTTTTGGACCTGGGCAAGTAACTTTTCCTGTTGGTTTTGCAAGCCTAAATTCAGATGTGAGATTTAAAGGATATGTTGGGAACAAACAAGATGAGACATAATCCTCACATGCATACATCAACACTAGGGGCCTATTCAATTTGGATTTGGATTTGGCCTAAATCAGGGACAGTGACTTGATTTGTTGATTTGGATCACTGTCCCTGATTTCAGATTCAGATTTGGCCTAATCGAGATTCGCTGCTGATTCGGACATAGACACAGCTTTAAATGTGTTTTCTACATACCTTGAGGTACCAGCGCGTCCCACAGGAGTGCACGGGGCTCCCCGCATGCTCGGTGGCAAACCTGGAAGTGGACCAGAACTACTTCCTGTCCAATTCTAGGTCTTCTGGGGAGTGCCAGTAGCTTGCCCCCCCAGCTCAGCAATCGGCTGCGGGGGGACCCTGCGTGCCCCCCCAAACCCAAGAGGCACCAGTCGCCAAGCTGGGGTCGTGCAGGGGGGGCCACCTGTGTGCTCAGCAGTGAACCTGGAAGTGGACTGGAAGTGCTTCTGGCCCTCGCTTGGGTCTTCTGCCAAGCGCGCTGGGGAGCCCCCCGTGATGCTCCATGCGCCCCAGCATCGCAGCATTCACAAGCCGCCTGCTACCTAGAGGTATGTAGGCACAGCTTTAAATGTTTTATGTCTGAATCACCGAATCTCTCCGAATCAGAACCCTCCAAATCGATTTGATTCGGAGAGATTAAAGGGTCCTCTGATTTGATTCGGATTCAGAGATTTGGCCGCCAAATCGGGCTGAATCTCTACCAAATCGAATCAGAGACCAAAGCTTCGCACAGCCCTAGTTAACACTAAAATAGTTCTAAATCTTTTAAAGTTACAATACATTAAATTAATCAGACTATAGCTTTTAACATTACTAAGCCACTTGAGGTATAAATAGAGCTTTTAACATACCATATTGCTTCATTTTCATGTCAGGTGTACATGCAGAAGACAATGTAGAAATGTTGCAGTGGTTGTCATAGCAAGAGAGCTTTGGTTCACTCTGCATGACTCATGACTTCTGTCACAGAGCACTTAAGTGCACTGCTCCTAAAAAGGGAGAAAACTGCTAGGGAAAG